CTATACTATTGTTTTATTTGCTATATTAGAAAAATAAAACACTAAATTACAACAAAATTAAGGAGCTTCCATTAAAATCATTATTTAAAAATTTTCTACTTGTTTTGTGTTTCTTTTCCTTGTTATGTGTTTCTTTTTAAATTAAAAACAATTTTTTTTTCTTATTATGAAAATGATTTAAGTAGTAGAGAGGTTTGTGTTCTCGGTCCCGAAGGGTTGTATCGCTGTGTCGGAGGCGTGGGTGCGTAGTAAAGCGATTAATGGAGGCAAAATAGCCATAAACTGCCGTTTAACCAAACTGCAAGCGTCACTCGACCATCGCCGAGTTGCCACCAATAAAAAACGCGAGACTTTATGACGGCAACTCACTCACGTTTTATTGTGAGTATAAACTTAATTTTATCGTCTGTTAATTTCACCACAAATAATCCTAGGTAATACGCAGATTATGTCATTTTATGTCAATGGCAAGGTCGCGGACTAGTGACTTTCATTTTCACTTTCGAAAGTATATATTTTTCACCTGCATTTAACTCTCCGAGGTTAGACTAACCTCTTTGACGCTGACAACAATTCCGTGAAGTCCCCACGCCAATGTCCCTAAGAAGTACGCGACGCCCCTTATTTCATTCGCTCGAGGAGTTAAAATGAACAATACAATATATCTACTTACAATATTTCACACCTATACAACGCGATGTTCTGTTTACTCAAGACACGGTCATAAAACGCATCAGGATAACAAAAGAAAAGCACATAACTCGCTAAGTAATGCTAACATTCGTGTTAACAAGTCGTCTGAAAGCTTTACAACGGGCATTATGTTAATTGAAACCGAATTGTGGAAATAAAATATGCGATCATTGTATACAAAAAGCTAATTTCCCACCCTTTCTATACAAATCGAGTAATTATTGAACGACAATGGTTGTTTGAATTGTAAGCGATAAATTTGCAAGCTATGGACGTGTTAACGAAATTATTAAGCAGGATTAGGCGCTTTGGATGGCTGTTTCTGCAATCGAGCTGTGAGTCATTGAATAAACTATTTGTCACTGAATCTGAACTGAATTTTTAGTTTGTTCTGCAATATATTTGTCAACCTTTGTACGTGATAGGCTACGATGGTCAACAGAATCATGATAACTATGTAAATGGGAAGGAGATAATGAATCTCAATACGTGACTACTGTTTTTGTTTTTATTTGATTGGCTTAAGATTTAATTTTAAAAATAAAATCTTAATCCTAACATGATAAAGAGAAAAGATTTGTATAACATTTTTTTTGTATGTATTGGAATAACTCAAAAACTAGTGGGCCGACTTCAACAAATCTTTCACCATTAAAAAGTTCCGTCATCAGTAACGTTTTTTATTATTTTTTTTAATGTCACGGGGATGAAGTCGCGAGCAATACCTAGTTAATATTAATAAGAGTAAGCAGTTTGTTTACTTTTTGTCAATGTTCATCTTGTTTTAAGACTGCAGCTAATAAGGAAGCCTCGATGCTTTGTGGGGAGAGTAACATTACACCCGATGGTCCGGGCGGCGCGGCGACGCGGCGTGGCGGCGGCGGGCGTTGAATGACACAAACAAACACACAGACAAGTGTGCGCCTGAGCCGGGGCCCGTCTATAAATATTTACGTTAGGAAACTCTCCAGGCCAATGGTCGGCCATACATCGCGCACGTAAATAAAAGTACGCTTTCTTATCTCCGACATGTGCGCGAGTTGCGCAAACGTTCGGATAATGTATACATTTTGTGTACATATATTTTCAGTCACGAGTTATAATCGCGTATATAACATTATTTATATAAAGTGTAGGTTACTGTTTCAGGGAGAACTAAAGATTTTACCGGACTAAAAATAAATATCGCGGATAAATGAAAACAATAGCGTAGGTTTCGTATAAATAATTTATCTGGCCGATTATCAGGTTTGATCATCGTGTAAAAAAAAATCTTTATTTGTGCTTATACAAACACATTTTAACTTGTTCTACGTTTAGAGACACTAGTGGGTGCTTCGTAGACATTATTTTTTTAACCGAGACAAAATTACTGAACAATAAAACATTTTGTACACTAAAATATAACATTAATTTAGTTAAAAATATGAAAACATAATTCAATTATATTCACCTTGTCGTAAACTCGCTAGCGACGTCTGTGTGAACGGGCACGGCAGCCTGTAAACAAATTAAACATTTCATAACAAATTTCGGACGTTCACTTTAAAAGACCCCAATGGGCATTAGAAACGTGAATTTCTCTTTCATTTTATTGGATGTAAAGGATAACGTATGTAGACCTATTCGCAAGATAAAATACTCAATTTGAATTTGAAAAATTTTTTTTCTATATAACCATTACCATCACCAGTTCACAGAGGGGCTCGGAGCCTACCCTAAAGTAAGGGGTGACTAGGCCATAGTCAACCACGCTGGCCCAGTGCGGGTTGGTTGACTTCACACATATCTTTGAATTTCTTCGCCAATATGTGTAGGTTGCTATGTACATATGAAAATTTGAAAAATCGAAAATCACATTGGTACATGGCTGGATTCGAACCCAAGACCTGCAGATTACAATTCAAGAGCCTTAACCACTGAGCCACCGACGCTCAGATTTCTATATAACGCGAATACAAAAATAAGTAACCCGTAAAATGATATACGAAATGTAAAAAATGTATCTATAATTGACCAACGCCGCACAATAAAGGGAAATAAATTTCGTCACAGTCAGGTGTGTTTGAAACCGTATGCAGGTTGTGAGGTTTGACGGGAAATTGTAATTTATTCCTCTATTTAACTGCTATATTAATGTCAGAAGTAATTTACAATTTTTACTTAATTTACGAAGCATTAAATATTTGCAATTAAGTTGTGCATATCAGAACATAGATATTTCCTAGTTTTTATGATTGAGATATGATCTTGTTTAATAGTACAAGAATAAACTTTGTTGATGAACAAAGATTAATTTATGGTTTAAGTTTTTTTTATTTTAAAAATAGTATCAGAGGGTGTCTGGAATGACGTGACTAACAAGCCACTGGAATAGTAAATCATCATAGGATGTTAATTCCTGTGTACGCATTACTGGTCTTATTTTAGCCACAGCTCCACCCACTGCCATCTCATTGACAAAAGTTCCGCTGTTTTATTTCCTAGCCTTAGTTCGTAACGATAGGAACATAAATAAATCCTTTTTAAGTCATTCGATACGGCGCATAGTCACGAAGTTTACATAAAATAGGTGATTTGCGCCGAATGCCACGGCTTTTTTTTCTATTCGGGGTGTGGAACGCACCGGCCCACTTATATTCGAACGCGAAAAAAACATGTTTACAGGCATTTTTTGGTTAACGATCATTGCCTTAGCGGGGACGTGTCGACGCTCGTAAATGCTCTTCTGTTATGTAACAATCACGTAAGTTGCAGTTATTTAGTAATCATTTAAAGTTATACAGGATAGCTTAATGTCCCGCCAAAAACTTCAGTTAAATAAAGTTGCAAATAGAATAATAGTATTTAATGTTTTTTACATGGTTTTTATAATGCATTTATTGAAAATTTTAAATTGCTGTTGCTGGTAACAAAACAGCTGTTAGCTGTTATAGAAATTCCTGGAGTAATATAATTAAAAAAATCATCATGACACAAAAAGAGAAATAGCAAAAGTATGAAAAACAAACGAACTTCAGAGTAGTTGAGGGATTTATAAAGAGTTACATGAGCATCGCACAGAGCAAAACGAGTTTACTTAAGTCGGCAAAACTTGAGTCGTATCAAACTTTGTCGACATTCATTTAAGTT